ACTTGCCCTTTGTAGGGTAATAGAAACAACCTTTTTCCGTTGAACTGATTGATGTGCCGCCGTGGCAATAAACTCGCGTGCAGCTGATGGCAATGCCCTGTACATCCGAGGCAAAGGCAAAGATTGGTTAGCCTCTACAGCATGCCAAAAATTGGGAATTTTGGGGTCTTCATGGTCTTTGGGAGCTTTTAAGTGCTATTGCATATAGACAACATAGCCGGCCTGTTTGAATTACCCCCGTTTTAAAGAGCTGGGCTAACCAGAAAACAGCCTAAGACCACCAAACCCCCAGTTCTATAATCCAGCTACGGAGGCTAAACATTGGTCTTGTATGGAAAACTGGCGACCTGCAACATTACTGAATTGTGATACCAGAATATGTTGCCGCCGTGGCAATAAACTCGCGTGCAGCTGATGGCAATGCCCTGTACATCCGAGGCATAGGCAAAGATTTGGTCTTTTTTTTTCAAATTCTTTAAAAAGGCATTCAGTGCATTTTTTAGGGCTTGGAAACCCGATTTTTCAAAGCTCATATTCTATTATCTACACACTGAGTTGAAACAACACTGTCTCATTGATCCTCATTAAGCAACGATTCCCAAAATTCTGACCGAAAATGGTTACTGGAAGGATCTGGATTGATTTGTAGGGTACCATCCAGAAAGGACTCATATTGAGGCTTGTTTCTGCAGTTTTAAATGACTTAAGTTTGAAATACAGGACCTCACTAGACAAGATAGAAATCCCACTTGTCTGAAAACTGGCAATCTATAACATTGCTAAATTGTGATACCAGAATATTATGCATTTCATTGCGTATGAAAATGTAATCTTAAGCCTTGTATCATACGATAAACTGGTTTTCAACAAAGACGACATATTAGTGACAGTATACGAAAGATCCTGGAATTCATAGAATATTATGAATGTAATGACAACAAGCCGGGACTAATTTCCATAGCGGACTTCCAGAAAGCATTTGATAAAATATAAGAGGCATTCTCGAGTTGAAAAATGGAGTTGGCAGGCATGCCAGGCCGGGAGGACACTTTACAAGGGCAAGAAACTGCAGAGACATGATTCACATTTCTGGATGACTTCATTTGGCATTCATCGTGTTTATATATCACATGCAATCCACTAGAGATCGTGTGGTATACATATATATTCCTCGTAAATATTAGTTAGTTTATGTGATCGTGACTTCATTTGGCATTTATCGTGGTTATATATTATATGCAATCACGCACTAGAGATCGTGCTCTACTCATATTCGTTGTAAATATCATTTATTTATGTGATCTTGATTACTGTTCTCGTTGTTCATATCTTTATGAACGCAACGCTAATTTCGAGAAGCTAGAATGATTGCTTTATTAAAAAGCACAGAGAAATAATTCATATGTTGTAATTATCTTATCCAAACGTGTAGACAAGTAAGAGTAAGGCTAATTGCAGAATTTTGCCCGAGGGAGAGTTGCATGCAAACAACTAAGATTAAGAAAGCAACAAAGAACGCCATTGTGGCAACACGTAGCATCTTGAAACCGAAGGATTCAGTTCAGTGCTTCAGTTACTTTGAAGAAATCCGAGGGTCTCCTTACTAAAAGGCTCACAACCTGCATTTCTTCTCTGGTCTCTTAGTGTCACTGACGAAAGGTAGTGGATGCTACCTGAAACGCCTGACCGTTTCCAAAATCATATCCAGTTGCTTGAGTAACTGTTTTTGGCGTAACAGCTAAGAGGCTCACAGTCTACTAGATCCGCACGTGTGCCGATGAGCCACCACAATCTATTAAATGCGGTTTTCCATATCGATTTTATTGACCATTCCTCACTGAGGCAACTGTACGAAGCTGAGGGAGACGGTTGAAGTGAGCAGGCCGTGTAAAGAGAGGTCGAGCCCGGGGGAGTCGGGTGGACATCAGGACACGAATCTCTTCTGCTCATTTGCGGTGTATGAGAAGACACGGGTCTGCATATTGATGGGAAGGGTCATCACCAGCTGTTGCAGTCTGGTGCAGCCGGGCCGACTGTCTGGGCGCTGCTATATCAGACCTTTAGCCAGACGTTTTTTCCCTTTTATGTACAACAAGTATCTTTGCCTTTGTTGTCGCTGTGCCCCATCAAAGTAGTGACTATATATACTAATGAAATTTCGGGTCGGTGCGAAACCTCATCCAAGAATCTATGTTTAGGACCACTGTTCGATTTTTCCTTACAAGGCGCCAAACACGCGGTAAGGAATCCAAAATTATCTTTTCCTCATACTCTGTAATTTTCAGAATGTTTTTATTTCATTTTGACCAAGATTTCCAAGCAAAGAATGAGATAATGAATGACAGGTAATGGCGCGTAACTGTTATAATTGTGCACTCTGGTCATCAGATTGCATTTTCGTATTAGCCAGCCAGGAGCAGGTTATTTTAAGAGAACGTTGCTGGCGGGATTTGACTGGCAGGAAGTGTGATAGCTTGTACTATACTGGCTTGGGTCGTATTAACGCGGCTCAGCTGCAAATTTTCTTTCTCTGCTCTTTCTATTCCCAGTGGAGGTTTACTGATCATTCCAGGAAAAAGGATTCGTAACACAACCTTATAGGATCCGTTTTCTGTGACGAGGTGGCTGGAACCGGTAAAGGGCAGGTTTCTCCCAGCACCTCCGGCGTGCCCTTATGTCTAACCCCAGGCCCTCAGACTGTAATCCCCGTAAGCATCAATTCCACCTGTCTAAACCCCAGATGCTATTCAGTATAAGACTCGTAACGCGTAACCATCACTTAGTGTCTCAGCACCGCGTGCTCTGGAATTTCATTCGACTTAAAACGACTTAAATTTAAGTGTTGAAAGCACTAGGGTATGCATTAGGGCTTAGACATCTCTTCCTGGTAATGTTTCAGACCACACGCTTGTGGGTGGTTCGTGCTTTTGAAGATGCATATGATGCCTTTACGGAAGGTAATTTTTTTTTATTTATTTATTCAAAATTGCGACATGACAATACAAAGTGTGCACTAGGCAGCAAGTATGCTGATAGCGTGCACACCCAACACATACCTGTACATATGACGTAAAAAAACAAAAACAATAAATAGTTAAAGCAAGATTATACACAAGTATACAAAATTGTGTAATTAGATTGTTTCAAGCCTTGAAGGTAATAGGTGAGATGCAACATAGTTTGTGCATATAAACCTGAATTTCTCCTCTGGTCTCTCAGTCACTGACGAAAGCTAGTGGATACTAGCTGAAATGTCTGACCGTTCCCAAATCATATCCAGTTGCTTGAGTAACTGTTTTTTTTTGTGCAACGTAGTTACATGCACTATATACGTATAGATAGATAACACTTTGAAAACAGTAATTGCTTTTCATCCTAATAGGTTTCAGCTTGAAGATATATATACATTCCTACTGTACATCAGATGGAAAAAAAACATCGAGGCGACACGGTTAGTCTAGCGTACGCTCTGCGATGACAGGTCCTATCAAGTCAAGGCAGCGGCTGCGCTTATGTCAATGTTAAAGCAAGCAGTTCAACGGGAGCAAGCATCTGTAAATTCTATTGACCTATGGGGCCTTTTGATAAGCATTAGAAAATGCAGTTTCATCTGTCTATGGTCTTTTCCAACTTGAACAGCTCCTAACATCTTGAGGGAAACCTGCTAAAACTGCTTTAAAGATACTCTGTACCATGCAGATTCTCTTGGATGCTGACCAATTTCTTCTAGCTTCTAATTTTCAAGCAACCCAATGCTTCTGGTACCGGTAGATACTATTCACACACTTTTTTCTAACCTGTATCATAATATTTTCTACAGACTATGAATTTTTGCCGTCATTTTTTACATGTAGTACTTAATTGCCAGCTTGCCGTTACTACCCACGTTGTTGTGGATAGGCCTTTATTCCTATACCCCATTAGTGAGTGGTCACAGGTGCACAGTGATTTGTGTGCGATCCGAGCGAATGTCTAGATGTATTTCTAAAGCCACACGAGTTATATATGTGGCCGCTTGAGGCGTCGTTTACGCCCAACGGTGCAAATCAGTATGTATACTTTAAGTTCTTGAGATGCACTACTGATCGGGCGTCGCATTTCATTCGCAGATGCACAGAAAGAAAACACAATGATCATGGTATTGTGTCACTCTGTATGGCGTGCATGTTTTACACTCTTTTCAGACAGTTTGGGCGGATGTAATGGAGGATTGAAAAATAAAATAGTCTGTAGACTACAAAGAAGAAACAAATAAAAAAAGGCGGATTTTACCTCAACATACACGGCGAAAGGCATGGCAAGAACTACCTTTCAAATGTATGGCAAGTCTATCTATGCTATATTCTTTTCGACGCAGGCAAGGCACATTGTGTAGATATAATGAAGAATTGCATAGCGCGGCAAAACAATACATAATATTCTGAGCACTACAAAGAAAAAAAACATTCTTACCTCAGCATTCAAGACGAAGGCATGACAAGAAAAAGAAAAGAACTTGTGCCTGTATTGGCTGTGCTATAACTATTTTCAATACAGGCAAGGCAAGTTTGTGTGGATATCACAGAGGAACGGATCGCGCGACAAAAAAAACTAATAGTCTGAACACTACGTATGCGTACAAAGATACAAAGACAAAAAGGAGCCCCTTTAGCTCAACATACATGACGAAAGGCCGAAAGGCATGGCAAGAACAGCCAAGTTTTTTCCTACTATTTTTAATGCAGCTAAGGTACGTTTGTGTAGATATAATGGAAGAATGGATTATGCGTGGCAAAAAATCACATAGTCCAAGCAATAAAAAAAGGATCCCTTACCTCAACATTAAAGGCAAGGGCTTAACAAGAACAACCGACTTGTGCCATAACTATTTTCAATACAGGCAATGCACTTTTTGTGGATATGATAGAGGAACGGACCGCGCTCCAAAAAAAAACAAACATGAGTCTGAGCACTATGTTTACGTGAAGATATTTACTACAAAGAAAAAACGAGCCGCTTACCTCCACATACACGACGAAAGGCATGACCAGCACGGCCATGAGCGCGTCGGTGACCGCCAGGTTGACGATGAAGTAGTTGGTTGTGGACCTCAGGTTCTTCCCCTTGTAGATGGCGACGACGACGAGCGCGTTCCCCGTCAGGATCTCCACGATGACCAGGATGGGGAGCAGGGCAACGAAGTTGTAGGAGCCGGCGGCCTCCCCCCAGTCCGTGCCGTTCCAACCCGCCGCGCTGTCGTTGCCGGGGCTTCGGGGCACGTCGAACCCCGCCACCGACGGATAGACCGTGGCGTTCCCCTCCATTTTTCACCTGCTGGGTGGAGACACAGAGAGTGCCAAAAGAGCTGTAATGTTACGCCGAAAACCTTTCTGACTTTGGGGCTGTCTGTACCGTCGGCTGAAGACGTAATGAGCCAACAGACTCACGTGGTTCTATATAGCTTTGGTTAGACTTGGGTTATACCATATGAACAGGGGTGTATAACATAGACAACATGGATATAGTAAATCTAGTACACCATAAAGCCGTTTAGGAATAAACTTATATGTAAAAGATACCAATTTAATCTTAATGGACAACATTAAGATTACGAGGAAAACAAAATGACAATGATTCAGAAATGACTGCTAAAGCCTAAGAAAAATGAATGTCGTGTTTCCATCCAAGATTTCAATCCTCAAAAACACAGTTGGAATGCAGGTAGAGATTCCCTTTTTGAAATTAAATTTTCCATTTCTATTGAACTGGGTGATCAGACAAATACAGTTAAACAATGTAAATCTGACATCTCCAGGACTCGTCAATGCGCTTGCCTTTGGGAAAGGGACAAATAAGTCACTCGATTTACTCGATAAAAATTGCCTCTGAAAATGCATTAAATGACGTTTCAGTGGGACATTCAGAAGTCAGATTAGAAACTATGTGGCCTTGGTCAGTCGGGAAACTGAAAACAGAAACATTTTTTGCCAGGCCTAGCCTACAGCGAGCTTTTCGTATTGATAGCACGTCTTTTCACATCTGGGTTACGAGACGGCGTTACAATGCAGAGTAATTAATATTCTGTCTGCGTCCGTTACGTGAGTCTCCATCAGGTAACACAAAAGACATCTGTGTGTACACGGATGTTCCCCGCTCCAATACTGTACAGAGATCGATACTGGCAGTCTTGTCGAGGCTAAGGTTGTCTGCACGATCCGGTAAATGAAAATTGATTGCTGCTTTCCTCGACTGTAAAGAAGCCTCCGTGTTGTTTCTTTCTGCTCGCGAGGGACGAGACGCTACTTGCGTTGCTTCATGCGATTCACGTCGACTCTTATGTAGTGATAATCTTACTACACACTCTCAAGATCTGTTCTATACACTTAGAGAATGGTGTTCGCCAGATGTATCTCAATGATAAGACTCTTAAAGACTGGGCATTGCTCTTCAATCTCTTGGCATGGCAATCCTGGGTTGTAATCTCTTCTTCAAGTCCAAAAAGAACAATTTTCAGATACTGTCTTTTATTGCACTGGCAGTAGAGGGGCAAGAACGATTGTGCTGCTGTTATACAATCCTGTAGGAGAAGCACTCTTTAGTGGCTTCAAAGTTCCATTCATCCATTTTTTTGGAAATCCATGGTTGTAATTCTTCTTCAAGTCCAAAAAGAACAATTTTCAGATACTGTCTTTTATTGTACTGGCAGTAGAGGGGCAAGGACGCTCAAAGATTTGTCTGAAATATGCTCCATTTGGCCTAGCAATGCCCTTGAATGTCTTGGCAATCCATAGTACTGTTGTAATCTTTTCTTTCAGCCAAATATGCTCCACTTGGCTGGGCGTTACTCTTCAATCTCTTGGCAATGATAGGTTGTAATCTTTTCTTTCATTCCAAAAAGGACAATTTTCAGCTTCTGCCCTCTTATGCCTTTGAAAGAAGAAGGGCAAGGGCGATTGTGCTGCAGTTACGCAATCGTTGTACGAAAAGTGGCTTCAAAAGTTTACACTATTCATCCAGTTTCTTTGCTGCTTTCTTGCCTTTCCCAAGGGAACTACCTCAGCCCTTGTATACCATTCATCATTAAGGCTTTGATTTCTCGTTAGTAGATTTCTTGCAAGATACTTATAGCCTGATATCTCAATGATGAGACAGTTAAAGATTTGTCCGTCAGATGTTTTATTTGACTGGACATTGTTCTTGTATCTCTTGGAAATCTATGGTTGTAATCTCTTCTTTAAGTCCCAAAAAAAGAACAATTTATACTGTCTGTTATTGCACTGGCAGTAGAAGGGCAGAAACGATTATGCTGCGCAGTTATACAATCTTTGTACAAAAAGCACTCTTTAGGAGTTCAAAAGTTTACACTATTCACCCGGTTTCTTTTCTGCTTTCTTGCCTCCCCCAAGGAAACTACCTCAGCCCTTGTATATCATTCATCATCATAGAGGGGCAAGGACGCTCAAAGATTTGTCTGAAATACGCTCCACTTGGCTGGGCGTTACTCTTCAATCTCTTGGCAATGACAGGTTGTAATCTTTTCTTTCACTCCAAAAAGGACAATTTTCAGCTCCTGCCCTCTTACTGCTTTGAAAGAAGAAGGGCAAGGGCGATTGTGCTGCAGTTACACAATCTTTGTACGAAAAGTGGCTTCAAAAGTTTACACTATTCATCCAGTTTCTTTGCTGCTTTCTTGCCTTCCCCAAGGGACCTACCTCAGCCCATGTATATCATTCATCATTAAGGCTAAGCAAATGTCTTGAAAGATACTTATAGCCTGATATCTCAATGATAAGACACTTAAAGATTTGCCCGTCAGATGTTCCATTTGGCTGGACATTGCTCTTCTATTTCTTGGAAATCCATGGTTGTAATCTCTTCTTTAAGTCCAAAAAAAGAACAATTTATACTGTCTGTTATTGCACTGGCAGTAGAAGGGCAAGAACGATTGTGCTGCAGTTATACAATCTTTGTACTCATTAGGAGTTCAAAAGTTTACACTATTCACCCAGTTTCTTTGCTGCTTTCTTGCCTTCCCCAAGGGAACTACCTCAGCTCTTGTATATCATTCATCATTAAGGCTTTGATTTCTCGTTAGAAGATGTCTTACAAGATACCGATAGCCTGATTGAGCGCCGTTGGGGATGTAAGCACAAGGGAAGGGCATTAGAAGCTCTAACGAAGGGGCCTTTCAGGTGTATGATCGTCCTCAGAGTCTCATCCTATGTAATTACAGTGTTTTGAATTCATATCTGCTGGGACATCATTTGTAACTCAAGCCCAACAGTCGTGATCTTACAGACGACATACTCTCGAACTCGCAAATTCTTTACAATTGCGGGGAAGAACAACTTTCTTTGCATTGCCGCTCCTTATGGCCTACAGGTCGATATGAGGTTCTTATGAATAAGCAAAGGTCAAAACACACAAACAAATAAAGATAAGGATGCATATGAAACAACATGATGATAACGCAACGTTTGTAAATACGTCAACAAAACCAACAGATACCTGGAATTCTTTCTCATATTACACAATGCCATACGGTCCACTAGTGATACCATAATGAATACTAACCAGCACATGAGGCATTTAAGAAATGCTGTCCATTCAAGATAAAAAGGTAACCTCATTCAGACCATACGCCGAGCATTGTGCTATCTCACTATTGAAGTTTGCTACAGCTGTTAACAACTATTACCTGAGTTTGCTTTTCGCTTGCAATGCACTTTCTTGATATCTCGGCCAAAGCTATTTAGTTTTATTAACAGACCATACACCGAGCATTGTGCTATCTCACGTATTGAAGTTCGCTACAACTGTCACTAGTAACAACAATTACCTGAGTTTGGTTTTCGCTTGCAATGCACTTTCTTGACTAAACCTTGGCAAAAGCCATTTAGTTTTATTAACAGTCAAGGGCTATAGACTGGTGTGTTTAGAACTGATAAGCGCTTGCCACGGCACGCCGGGCCGTACCCTTGGCCCTATCGATACGTCTAACGGGTTCCTTGACCCACTCGAGGTGACGATCTCCACAGATACGAGACCGGCGACTGAACTCTGACCTCTTGTGTGAATGATGGTGAAGGCCGGGGGGAGGGGTCAAGATTCGAATCTGTGACCTTGAAATCAAGAAATGGAGCTATTCCGTTTTTTTCAAAACTTTTAGCTAAAAGTTATAGATTGTAGATGTAATCGCCAGAGATAGATAGATGGAAGTGTGCAATTCAGAAGAAATATCATTATCCAGCACTACTGTCACACTGTCATAATACGATATGTTGGGTATATAATGCTTCACGCGTGAAGTTATAGTAGACGCTGTCATGATGCGGTTTTTCGGCCCGATATATCGGGGTGGTCCGTTGCTAATCTCCAAGCAGATCATACGGTGGCAAGTCAGTACCCATTGGCCAGGGGAGTGTACATTGGGTACTGTCTGGCAAATGGATACAGGCTGGCCAATTTGATACTGTCTTACATGTACCTCCACCGAAAGATCTGCTGGACTTTACTTTAGTCCGGTGCCGCCCAATCGTTCCACTCTACAAGAGTGCTGCCGCTCAAAATACTGCCCCCTCCAAATACCCACTACACCATCACGATTTGATTTGTAACAGAAAACATAATTGGATAGCGTATCAGTATTTACTCCTACTATTATTCATGCAGTGTTGTTGTGAGATAGGATATATTAGGTCCCCGTGCTGTTACATAAACACGGAACCCGGATAGATGCCGTGAGTCAGACGGTACTATCAGCAGAGCCTGCCGCGTAAACATGATTTATATCCACCGCAAAGTAGAAGATTAATGGTCATATAATTGCCGAAACACACTGCGGCTGTAAAAACTACAAAGTAAGTAAATATTGGTACACCAGCTTATGATTATTATCAGATCACATCAATCATGTAAAACATGGTATACAACTGAAGGGCATAGTTGTACGGTGTAATAATATATACTGTGAAGGACATGTGCCACGTCACCAGTCGTTGTCTACATGTAGCTACGCAGTCGAAAGGAAGACTACCTACTTTTTCCATAAAAGTAACTTTATATCTGTGTTACTTGACGACGTTGTTATCACATAATGTTTGAAAAGACGTAATCGGCTTACTTAACACCGCATAAAATTTGACTCATTGGTCATCATCATACTAGCTTGTCGTTATATATAGCTCTCCGACAAGTTCCGTGCCGTTTTGTTAATGGCAGTTATACAATGCAGGTAAATCAACGTGGATACCGTTACTCCGCCTGTATTTTCCCATAGAGTTGAAATAAACTAAGAGAATTTTGTCAATAATTCATTTTGAAAATGATTCCTCAATACGGATAGTACATATGATAGCTGATAGAGTGTGGCCTTGGGTAAATGAAATCCAATACACAAACGCTGTAAACGAGTAAATGTTGAAATCATGGATGAATATATATATTCCTGCTTGCAACAAAGCAATTATGCTATAAGGTACCAATTTCTTGCTCATTGAGTAGTAGAATGGCTTACAAAAAAGGAAAGCCAATTATACTTGCGCGTGTGGGTGGGTGGTGGTTGGTGGCGCAGTTGTAATACTGCTATGTTTGTCTATATATAAGTTATGGTTGTCACAGATATATAGATCTTTCCCAGTCAACGCCATGATATGCCTGTCAGCTAACTGATTGATTGGTATAAATGACTTCTCTTACCTGGATATTCAAGACATGGCAGATCTTGGCTGCAGTAAGACGGGCCCAGTGAATGAAGGCCCGGCCTGGGTGGATGTTTGGCGTAATCTGGTCTTGTGATGTCTGATCGATGTTGACGTGTCCGGATATGGAACATGGGTCCTATCTTATCTCTCAAATCAGTAGACTGTCTCATATGATATTATATGGAATGGGATGGGGAGGGGATGAGAGAATGAGAAACTAGGGACAATGATAACTACTGTACAACACAAAGATAGAAACGACTTTTTACATGGCATAGTAATCACTTATTGTCATGTAGTTTAGTCTGAAGCACATAAATACGTTTTTGGAGATGTTATATATATTTTCTGATGGGCGGTGCACTGTGCAATACTGGGCCATTGGGCTGTCTGTAGATTGTGTTTCGTAGCCTAACGCAATATTCCGATACAAATCCAATATATAATGTGTCCATTGCCTGATAGTAAATTGAATGACAGGCATAGGCAGAGCTAGCGCTACTTATTTGGTCATAAATCCCTCAAAGGGAATATCCAATATTCCCCTCCTTCGTCTTTACAAGTAACACCTTCCTTACAAGGCGTTTATTTCAACTAGGATCAAATTTGATTTGCTGACATACATTTCATGTGGGTTGTGCATGTCAATTAAATTTTATTTAAGTGGTATTTATTCATTGAAGCATTCCAACTTATTAAGAAATATTCATTATTTTGTTGTTGACTCAACTCGTGGTGAAAGATGCATTCTTAAGGGATGTGTCTAAGAAAAATGCGACTGTGCACATGTCATCAACTCCTGTTCCTAATAACTTCAACTTCATTTATTTGTCACAATTATATTTGTTTATTGTCACGCCATAGGAGCTTAATGTCATTCATGATCATCGTGCAAAGTGTATGTATGCAAAATTGTTTAGGGATATTAGCTTTTGAAGCAGGCATTTGAGAGACGTGTGCAATTAGAATGGAAGCATGTTTACGCTATATGGGTTACTCGTGGGACCGTTTGATTACTATTTATAAGCGGTATCAACGGTAAAGCTTAAGGCTAACCATGAAAAATGCAGTGGATTTGTGGAAAATACCTGTCTCAATTTTCTCAGTGGTGACAGCTGGCGCCACCATTTGTTTACGTGAAAACGTTATGTCCTATATAATATACTTTGATGTGTTTCTATATTTTGCAAAGTTGATAATAGTTGCCCTGGGGACCGATATGCCTTCACACGTATGCGTCATTCCTGATGAAGTCTTATTGAACTTCTATCTTTTCTCTTATTTTAGGCGGCATGAAAGCAAATCCCGCCTGCGTAATGTTTACCCAAGGGACGGAAACAAAGAAATAAAATCAGCGCCTCTGATTCATGTATGTTAGCGTTATTATCGTATCAGCTTTCAATACCTGACTTCAGCTGGTGTGGTACGTCGAAGGGCGGTTTTACCGGCTATACCAATACAGATACAGACTAGAAAGATAACATTTGCAAAGCAAATGCATAATGTTTACCTTCGCATACGGTCTGCTTTGGTAATTCTTAATCAAACACATTCATATATATGGTCAGATAGGAATCTAAATCCCACCTGCTATAAAATTGCAACATGATGTAACCCAACACTAGTTACCATGGTAACAAACAGGTCATTGAGGACACTGTTTGGAGAAGAAGAAGAGGAGGAAACGTTGAAAAAACAATATGTTTTCCTTCGGTAAACATAAAATACAAGTCGACTAACTTCTTTCCATGCCAATGTTTGAGAACGGTGATCCATGACTATTTAGTATAGTTTAATCATCAAAAGTACTACATAAGTGTGCCTAATAATTGCATTGCATTACAAACTACATTACAGATATTTGATTGTGGATTTGACGTTTCTATAAATACAGGTTTATAAAGTGAAAGTACTAAACAGATAGATCGCCAGCTCAATACAACCTACATTCGAATGTTCGACATGAACTAATGCGTTTGAATATGCCCAGCAAAACGTTATGTGGTTATGTAAAACATTTTCCAGCTAAATGGCTTTAAGATGACGGTCTAGTCAACTGAAAGTGATAACTGCGTTTGCACTTCACCTTGGTACGCCAAAGTAAGCATTCCACCCAGCTTCGCTGGTTTTCAATACATTCACCCACCGTTAGCGTAATTCTTCTTGATATCCTAACCGAGCAATTTATCTACCAAGACGCATGAAAGACTGTTCTTGCATTAAGTAGCACTTGCTCACTTTGAAAATCAGCCACATCTTGCATGATATGCATGGTGCTATTAAATTTTACCTCGCACTAGCGCATAGCACACCGTAAATCATAAAGATGTTACAGAGGATAGAACGAGTCTGAACACTGTCCTCCTACGTTGTGTAATAATGTGCATATGAATCCAACACTCTTACTTCAATGTCAAACTTTATCAGTTGAGTTTACCGAATACGACGATGAATCTTATTATGTGCTACTCTAATACTTACAATGACAGATCTTTGCTTCATTTGCTTTATTTAGCACCAGTACTGCCGTTATTGTTGCACCCAATGGTTCGTATACAAGCAATGTGTGCACGGCAGTGTGCATTGAGTTACAGACTCTTGAGTTACAGCAACTACATTCGGTAATACTCTTAATTGCCTGCAAAGTGGAAATGTAAATACACTACTTTAAGCATTTTTCCAGAACAAATCGTAACAGTTCATTTTGGCATCAGAAAGATCCTCAATACATGTACCCCCTGTCAGAACAATAAGCTATTGTTGCCCAAGGTCCCCTGTGTCCACAAACTATATAGCTAGTCTTGGTTCTTACTTGGTTCAGTTGAACCCCTATATATGTGCTTAGTTTCTGCGCATTTTTTTTCTTTGAAAATATAGTATTAAAGAGAGAAATAAACTAGTTGTAGGAAGTGATAAAGTAAAAATTAACACGTCTACTAGTGCATGTAATACATGTAGATGTATACACCATCAAAGGCTCACCTTCACCTTCATCGTTCTAAGCAGGGCTCAATGTCATTTTTAAGTTTCCACCGTTCCCATTGGCAGTAAGCCTGTCGCAGACAATAATGGCTTATATAAATATATCAACTCATCATACCCTTGTCCTTCGCCTTCACTGTTCTACGCAGGGCTCGCTATCATTGTCAGTCCCATTGACAGTTAACCTGTCGTACACACTAATGGACTACATAAATATATCAAATCGCAGCCTTCACTTCTCATCCTTAAAAGGTCTAGATAACGCTTCTCGTCAACATCTCAATGGCCCGTGGGCACTATTTGTTCTTGGGCGCGTGGGTGGAGATGAGTCGTGCAGGTGCTTTTGAAAGTTACGTGGTCTGACGCCATGCTATTTGATGCTTGTATTGCCTTTTATTCATTCTGTTCTCCCTACTGTGCCACCACCATTCTTTGAACTTTAATTTTGAGAATATAACATTTTCCCGAGGACATGTGTTAGCCACTTCTTTCTGTAGAGTACATAATGTGTATGCCCCCAAGATAATTATGATGTAAGAATACGCGTTTATCTCCCGCTTTCAAAAAATTTAGATTATCTGCATCGTTTTTCACGTTATTTGATGCTTGGGCCTTGGTGTCTTTCATAGAGGAAATGATGCTAAGGCCTGTCATTTGTGGCCAAGCGTGCGGTGGACTTCAATAACACACACAGACGAGGTGGAAATGCAGATGCAGAAAAGATGAATGTTGACCATTAGTACTGTGGTAATACAAACGACCCACCGCGGTCCAGAGTTCATCGGTCTGTGTGGATGTTGACACGAAGGGTCACGGCGTTTTGTGCAACATTGAACATCAAGCAGACGTGACCAATCCTGATTATTCGCCAGCTTTGTCGCTAACGTGAACCCATCAGGAGCAATTTTCCTCAAACGTTGCCCAGTTGCTTTGGTGTCGACACGTTGCCCAGTTTACCGCGTAATCTCGTAGTCATTGAATTTGCAATAAAAGGCAAAAGCTTCCACACTTCTAAAGGAAATGCTAAAGCCAATCGACTCAAACGTGGGTATTCACAAAAAACGTCTTATCGAGTAGAGGGGATTTAGAGACGTTCCTTTACTTTACTAGACAGGCAAATGTTCTTACAGTCAGGCTACAGTCTCCTTTGTTGTCTTCTTTAATTTAGATCACCATTTTCAACTCATCGCTCTCTAGTCTACGGCTATCAATCGAAAACCAAAGATACATATTATGCATCTTCCGTCGCAGCGTCCGGTTCACTTTCTTTAACTTATGTCTTCGTAGAAACTTTTCTAAGTCTTGCTCCGTGTTGAATAATTCCAGATCTATTCTGTGAAGACAGCCGTGCAGCTGATATTTTACTAACTCCATATATACTGCAACCAATGCCTGAAGCAACTACGTAGTCTCACTGTATATATAGTCAGAAATCTCATTTGCGTGTTTTAGCCGGTATATCAGCCCTTCGGCGTAACTAAGCGTATAGGCAAGCGGCGGCGACTGATTGTCACATCTAACATCCTGCCACGCTTAATCCCTGAACATGTAACTTCATACGAAAAAGTATACTGTAAAATATATGATAAAGTAACTATATTCTTGGTTTAAACATACCTAATGAAGTGGCTCCTACTGCAAACGACCTCCATTATACAGTAGATCTAACACCTCCCCCCTCTTGATTAATAATTGATGACTTGATGAATGACAAGATACCGCTTTAATGTTAACCTTTCATCATTCCCACATTAGGGCTGATGACTAGTCAAACACACTCATCATTTAACACCAAGCATAAACCTTCACCTGATACCCCGTGGCCCCTGTGCTAACTGCTTTGGCAACGGACTATGAATATGGTATGTGATTAGAATTCAACATGTCTGTAAACAACAGCAACAGCCCCCAACATGCTAGAATGATCATCAACAAGATCATGGGCATTAGGAGAAAGACAAGTTTGTCGATCAGCAGCAATGTCAGGATCTAACCCTGGTTTACAGGTCACCCATTGTGTCCCCACACAGCCTCAGTACGTACGTATGACAGATAGTCTTCTGTCGTCTAGGTGTTATGAGGACCTGTCTTGTGGACGATCGATTGCTTAC